TCGATAAAGTCAAACATAACAGCCCAAATGTATGTCACTCTTAAAAATTCTAACCTACCCTAGCACTCAGGAGGCTGAGGTAGGAGAATCTTCATTCAAGGCCAATCTGGCTACTTAGTGGATTCTAGGCTAGAATTTATTGGCCCTATGTCAATACATAAATAAACAAATAATAAGTAAATGGGTTGACAAAATGGTTAAGAGAGTAAAGCACTTGTTGCTTGGGCCTGATGACTTCAGTTCAATCCCTCAAACCAACAATGTAGAAGGAAAAAACTGATTCCCATAGTTTGAACTCTGATTTCCACGCTAGCACTGTGGCATTGTGTCCTACACACAGACATACACACACACTACACACACACTCATATGCACACACACACACACACAATATAAAAAAATAAAGAAGTTTTTATGTCTACATAAGACATGGTGTTCCCCTAGCATTCACAGAGGGTTATCTTTAGGCGATGGGGTGTAGCAGAGTTTCTTACTCTTGATATGCTCTTCAGTGTATGAATGTCTTTCCAAGTCATTAAATAATCATCATCTAAAATCCTCTCAATTCTACTTACTTAGCCAATGTCTCAGTTCAGTCTTTTCTCCTCTCCAACTCATCACCCAAATTTGCTTCTCAAACACTCAGGGCCACTTCCATAGCTGTGACTCATTTTATAGGAATCTTCTATGTAGCCAAAGGGGAAGGATGGGATAGCTGGCTGTTTTCTCAGGGCACTTGACCTCTGCAGTTTTTCCTCTGCTGTCTGCATTCTTTGTGTTGTCATAACTAGTTGTTTCAAAATACTGCTTAGCTTTCCATATTCTTCCAAAATGAGGATCACAATATACCGTATTTAGGAAACTGGGGAACACACTGCTCAACTTACACAGTGCCTGCAAACCTTGGGCTATCATTTAAGGCTGGAGCCCTGCATGAAATAATCGCAGACTTTTGTTGCACAGGTGGTTTGGAGGGGTAAAAGGATGAACCAGGAAGACATCTGGATGATGCTCCGATACTCAGGCTTATAGGTACATCTTACAGTTTTGCCCTCATGGTGTGGTAGGCATCTTGGACCAATGAAATCTAAGTGTCCTTTAGCCAAATGATTCAGCCTCCTTGCTTTCCTCAGGGACCCTAAAGAGGTATATTTCCTTGAGACTGGGTAGTAGCAGGATCCTCCTCCTCCCCTTTCTCCTCCTCCTCTCACTGTACTTATAGCGCTATGTGTGCTTTAATGGCCCACCTAAATAAAGTGAGTGCGAAAACAGGATGCATTTTTGTCATGGAAAAGTCTCCCAGCCAGTATGCATAGCTACCAGGTATGGGTCTGGAGGGCCCACATCCATGACAAGGGACTTGAGTTGACCTCTCATCGCCATCGTCAGATTCCGTACTCTGCACTCTGCTCCCCCTTCTCATGGTGCACCATACTGGAAGGACAAGAGTCTCTAGTGGCCACCATCCTCACTTTGTGTAGAATCAGAGGGTTCTGTGAGAGTGCCAGCTCTGAGAATGAAACAGAGGAGGAGAGGTGGGTGGGAACGCATTTGTAGGCAATGCGGAGCTGTCCAGCAGCGATGGAGCTGCACCGGGGAAGCCCCAGCGAGTGTGGCAGCTGGGAGTGGGGATTCAGTGAGAGCATTCCTAACCAGAAGGAATGTGTGTATGCCTGCACATATACAACCGTTTTCTTTTACTTTAGGTTTCAGCTACTCACACAATCCTTGGTCTTCAAATATGAAATGGAAAAACTATAAATTTTAAAGTGCATGCCATTCTGAGAAGTATGATTAAAGTTCATGCCATGCCCTCCTGAGACACGTTTTATCGCTTTGCCCAGTGCTCCACATTGTAAGTGGCACAGAAGCCACTTAGCAGCCACCTGGGCTAGCATGTCAACTGTCATGAGATCATGGCGATTCCTCAAAGTAACCCTTAGTTGACTTACTAATGGCTTCAAGGCATAATGGTGCTGACAACAAAGAAACCATAAAGAATTTCCTTTAAGTGAAGAGGTGAACTTTCTTAACTTGCTAAGGAAAGAAAAAAAGTAGATGCTGAAGTTTTGGAGACCTAAGGTGAAAAAAAAATCTCTCTCTATAAAATGGTAGAAAAGCAAAAGGAAATCTGTGTGCTCTAGCTTTGTTTGCTATTAATCCCAAACTGCAAAAGTTACAGCTATTACCTACAGTAAGTGCTTAGTGATGATGAGAAAGTAATTAAATTATGGGCCTTGGTACTATTGTTTCAGGCATCTACTGATCATCAGAGCATACCCTGGGTGTGAGAGGGGCACTACTTTACCCAACATACTGTATGATTCACCCACCCATTTTCAAGGGGCGGGTGAAGAAAGAAAGAAGCAGAAATGTACAGGGGAAGGAAAAAGGAGACTTGATGAGGAACAAAGACAAAGACAGGATTACCATATACACAAGCAACCCATCAGCTCATTAGTGCTGATCCACTTATGTGTGCATGAGTGTGCACACTCACAAGCACCGCACACGCAAACCTGTCAACATGCCCTCTAAGTATATTGCAATTTCAGTATTTATGTTGTGCAATTAGAAATAGTCATTTTAAGCCTTTTGGGGGCAGCCCGGGGGGTGGGGGGTGGGAGTAGCTAGCTCAGGGCTTCCTTCCTGGAAGGAATTTAAAATTTTAAATTTTAAATTTTAAAATTTTAAAATAAAGTACTGGTGTGTACTGCAGCCATGTGCGACCTCCCCAGCCTGTTGACATGTCTGAACCATCTCCTTTAGCATCCTCTCTTTTTGGGGACCAGTGGACAGTAAGTTACCAATGGAGGCCTAAAGCCAGCAGTAGGATTGTAGGCAGTTGCTCATCTTTCTTTTCATGACTAGAGACCCAAGAAATCATAAAGAAACACTACATCACAGGACAGCTTTATTTTTGTGAACTAACATTGAAGGTTCCCCACTTTGGACAGCTGTCATCAGTCATGTGCTTCACCGAGTGAAAAAGACCCACAAAGGAAGAAGGTAACTCTAGCCTTGAAAAAGCCTTTCATCCGATGCCTTTAAATTTGTCACCTGAATGTGATATTAACATAATCGTCTGCATTTTCTGCTAATGAATGCACCTGCTTCTAAGACTTTATTTTAGCAGTTTTAATGAGCTCTTCAAAGGAGTGTGCCTGGACTCGCTGCACTGCTAGAGAAAAAGCAGCTGTAAGCAACTAACGCTGCATTCAGAATTGGAGTGAAGGCTCTGTGAATTTGTTAAACTTGAGAAGCAGTATCTACCCGTCTGTCTGCAAGGAGAGACATGAAGCTGAGCTGTGGCTAACAGCAACTGGGAAAAGCCCCAGTTGAAGTTGGCCTGGCCAGAAAAGCTTCTTGGGTGCTTGGCCATAAGGAATGGGCCTCTCAGGTGGTTCTCTGAATCCCAGCTTTCTCATCTGGAAAATATGGTGTCTACTTGTAATGGTTACATGCCTCATGCTAGAAGCACTCAATAATGGTAGATTTCCTTATAGCCATAATGTTTATTCCTAAGGAAATGCAATTTAAAGAAGGGCCACATATGGTTGGAATACATTTATGTGAGATATCAAGGCTGGGAACCACAGAGACAGAGAGTAAATTGGTGGTGGACAGGTTCCGGAAGGAGGGAGTGAGCACCAAGCAGTAGCTGCTTAATGGATACAAGGCTTCCCTCTGGGGGTGGTAAAAACGCTTGGGAACTAGATACAAGAGGAAGTTGTGCAATGTCACAAACACACTAAAGGCCTCTGTATCGTTGCCTTTAAAATGATGAATGTTGTTATGTGACTCTCACCTAAGCATAAAGCAAAAGTACCCCCTTAAATTAAACAAAAACTGGCTTTAAATGGATCAAGCAGATTGTTTGATTGACTGCAGGTCCTCAGAGAATTCTTAGGTGAATAATGACTCATCAAGCTTCGTGCTAAGGAAACCAATCTGGTCTCCTCTACCGAAGCCATCAGGATGCCCTTTCGATGCTGAGTCATACCTTGCTTCAGGGTGAAAGCATCCCAAGAAGTCATCAACCAATCTGCAGATGTTCAGAACACCCTGTAGATGCTCGCACAGTAGGGCAGACAGATAATACGTCATGTGACCAAATCTGTTTCACAATTGTTACACTCTGACTTCAGTGACATTTGCATGCCTGTCAACTCAATCTCTACCTCTCCTTCTATGTGGTCCTCTGGGTAACTTTCATTTGAAAAGCTTAAAAGTAAGGACTAATGAACTACCCCCAAACCCAACTAAATCTAAAGTGAAAAACAGAACAAGTGTTGCTTTAAAAAAACAAAAAACAAAAAACAAAAAAACACAGAGCAGACAGATCATGAGGCAGGAGCATCCTAGATTCATGATGCTACCCCCTCCCTTCCTGTTAAGAGAATCTCCAATTCCCTTTTAACTTTTATTCAGTAATAGTGAACTACCGTGGCAGTAACTAGCTCTCTGGACACTCCTTAAGAGTCTTCCCTCAGTGTTAGGGACTGGCTCACTGGCCATTCAACCACACTCTTCAATGCTGGAGAACCATTCAAGAAACAGGCCCAGTTTAGGGATCATCACCAGCTTAACCTGGGTTTCTCTGGAAAGGTCCTGGGTTCTAGAATTCTCCAAGCCAAGCCATTTGACAATTCTGTGCACCCCTACACTCTTTATCTAGACTGACGTGGAACGTCTCTCCAGAGGACTTTGAGTTCTGTTCTGAGGCCTCCTCTGTGTAACCTGAGCTCACCTCCAGCCACCCTCTGGCAGTGCTCAGCCACCAGGGCACTGGCTGCATGCTGACGAAGGTCTTGCTATGCCTCACAGTGTGGTCCTCAGAAGGGCAGCATCAGCATCACCTGGAGATCAGCATCCATTGGCAATGCAGGCGAGGTCCACCCTCAAGCTACTGCATCAGAGCCTACAGCTCACATTTAGGTTCAGGAAGTGGCGGTCCAAAGGATCTGCTCGAGGTTGCTTTTGCTGGCAACATGACTCACCATGTCAGGTTCCCAAGTTGTATCGGTGCACATTCCACTTCAAGGTCTAACACAGATTCCCCTGCAGTGCTCCTGGGCAAGCTAGCTCTGCTTTGGATGAGTTCCCACCCAGTGGGCCTCACGGGTGATCTGCGCTTCTGTGTGCTGAGTGGTCACACATTTATATAGCACAGCCTCCTGCTAAGCAAGCTATGCCCACCCCCTAGGTCATCTTGCCCTCCTGGTCCCACAGCTCTAGCGGTACCATGTTCATAAATTGTTGTTAAAGAAGGAAATCACAAAAAGGAAAAAAAAATAACGTCTATAAACCTGCATAGTTTAGAGCTAAAGAATATGTTAAAATTTTCCATTGTGGAAATTTCCCAGCTACTGGGCTCTTTAGATTTTTTTTTTTTTTTTTCAGAGCTGCAAGCAAAGAATGGAAATTTCCAAACGCAGCATCAAGAGCTGCTGTTCTGCTGACTGTCTCGCTCAGCCGGGGTCATCTGCTTCTCTAAGACATCAAGGAATGCCAAGGTAGAGAACACAGGCTTCCTCCACAGGCAGGAAGGAGAGAGCTAGGAGGAGGGGAGGGGCAGCAGAGGTGACAGCCCCTGCTCCTTCCCCCAAGCAGGAAGTTTATCCTACTTGACTTGTTTCCAAGGGCAGCTGGCTGGCAGGACTTTTTTTTTTTTTTTTTTTTTTTGTGACATTCCTAAGGTGGGTGGGTGATACAGAAACATGAAAGAAATAAACATTTGTTGGGGTCTAATTTTGAAAACACTAACTTGTAGATTCATCATTCCATGCTTACGTGATCTGCCCAAATAAACCTTTTTTTTTTTTTTAGACAGTGTCTTATGTAGCCCAGGCTGGCCTTGAACTCCTGATCCTCCTTCCTCCACCTCCCAAGTGCTGGGATTACAGGCATGTGCCATTATGCCCAGAGTTAACTTTTGAGCTTAGAGTCTTTATCTCTACCTCCCAAGACAGCTCTGTCTTCCCATCCCCCATAAACCAAACCATCCACAAATATCCCAGCAGGGTCTGTGCCCACCTCGGCACCCATACCACAGCCCTGTTCTTTCCACTGTAGCTACGTAAAAATACATTCCCATTCACAGCTGGTCCTGCCGCCTGACTCAACAGGCATCTAATAGTTCCCTGAGATCTGGCATGTTCCTTCCACCCACGGATGCTGCTCCTACAGAAGGCTAATGGCAGCAACTCCATGGAAGCAGGTGTCAAGGCGTCAGTTTCCTGCAGATGCCCAAGGTGTCAAGGCGTCAGTTTCCTGCAGATGCCCAAGGACCCGGAGTGGCTTCAGAACAGAAAGAATATTTTCAAACCTAAGCTGTGTGGGTTTTTGTCTGAACTGTTTGGGAGTTGTGTTTTTGTTTTTCACTTTTTGGGACATTCTTAAGAAACAGGTGCTGCCTCTGAGATACCCCCTGGTACCAGGGAAAGGACTGCTATGGAAGGTTTTTGACATCCTGGTTATTTATACTACACATTATTTATGGAGACAAGTTTGGTAACAGTGAAGAATTTCTGGCAATAAACTTTAAAAAAAAATCACATGGCTGAAGCTTGGGGACTACCACAAGTTTGAAGCTAACTGAGGCTACGTGGTGAAAACTTTAAAAATCCAAAGAGGAAAACGGCTTGGGAAGGTAGCTTAGTTGGTAAGATACTAGCCGTGAAAGCATCAGGACCTTGGATTGGATGCCCAATACCCCTTTAAAGTCAGGCATGATGGCATGCATCTGTAATCCCAGTGGTGGGGAGGCAGAGACAGGAGGGTCCCTGGAGTTCACTGGCCAGTCCATCTAGACAAACTGGTGAGTTCCAGGTTCAGAGAAACCTTGTCTCAAAAAATAAGGTGGGTCGTGATTGTGGAAGATAATCGATATCTACCTCTGATCTTCCTACATAAGCTCATGTACCCCACAAACAGGTACATATAACACAGAGTGAGAGACAGAGAGAGACAGGAGGAGGAGAAGAAGGGAGAGAGACCTAAATCGGAGGGGGCATCAAATAGCTAATGAGTAAAGCAGCTGTCCCATGTCTGTCCCTTCAGTCACATCTATGTAGAAAGGCATCATTAATAGCAGCCGTAACAGTAGTGGAACATGGAATGATTAGCAAGAATATTTAGCATAGGTCTGTCTAGACATTAAGCCCGAAGGCTGTTCTCAGTCACCGGGTGCGTCTGTGACAACTGTTTGCTTTATACCTTTAATGGGTTAAAATCGAGCCCAGTTTCCTGGTGGAACTCATCAGGTGGTCTCTGACTGTGGGTGTGGGTCTCCTAGGACAAGCCTCATTTGATTCCTCTGTACCTGTCATATGCTAGAGGATAATGGTGGCCTCAGTGGGAGACACTGATGATTCATAGCTGTGGGTGGGACTCAGTGGACTTGTCTGATGAATACATCTTTCCACTTGAGACCACAGAGATGATTTAAAAAAAAAAAACAAAAAACAAAAAACCTGTGGCTGGAATGCATGCTGCTTTAGATTAGGATTGCTTATGATTTCAAACGAGGCTCTGACTCTGTCCCTCGGCTCTCCCTGCTGTTTGCAGTGTACCTTTGCAGTGGCTTAAACAAGAACTGGGACCCACTTCCAGACCCTTCAACCCAGTCTGGCCTTTTGCCTCTCTGTAGCTACCAGAATGTTACTGTGCTGAATCCAAGCTGTGCCTCAAGTGTGTACTTCCACTTTCTCTCTTGAACATGCCTCTGCTGGCTGAGCAGAGGCCAACCCGTGGGAGGATGAGTGATTGTGTACAGCAGGGATGAAATGTCCCACCTGCTGGGATCCAAGGTCACCCAGCCCCAGGCAGTACACTGAGTCTGGCCCTCAGACCAGGATTTGCTGGCCTTTTATCTAAAGAAATGTGTCACCCACAAAAGCATTGGTACTCATCCTGGGATCCCAGCAGCTTCACTGTAACTAATCTCCATCACTCTGAGGGGAAAAAAGGAGACAGCTATTTACTCACAGCAGAAAATAAGAAGGGGCTGGGGGTGTGGCTCAGTGGATAGAATGCCTGTCTAGCCTGCACAGAGTTTGGAAGTTCACCACCATGTAGAACTGGGCACTTGGGAGGTAGAGGCAGGAAGATAAATCAAGGTCATCTTTGGTTACATAGGAAATTTGAGTCCATCCTGGGCTACATGAAACTCTATCTCAATTATATATATATTTAAAAAAAAAAAGGGAAAGAAAGGAAGGAAAGTGGAAAGGGAGAGTTGACACAGTACAGAGATTACACTGGGCAAGTACTACGTGGAACAATTAAACAATTAAAAGCCCCTTTGGAACTTCAGCCTCAATGGTTGCTTGGTTAATGCTACAGGCCAGAATGATCAAGCAATGTTTCATTTCCCAGCCTCTACCCTCTAATGCTCATTTAACAAATGCATGCTGTGTGTCTCAGTAAGGATGGGGCCCCACTTGTACTTTGCCTGCTTGGAGTCCCCGAGTGTATTGTGCTGTTTCACGCCTCCCTAGCCCTGAACACAATGTTCCTTCTGCCTGGAACACTCTTAGCCCTCTTCTCTCACTGGCGAACGCCTACTCACTGATCAGAGCCGAGCTCAAGGATACTGCCTCTTGGAAGATTTCCCCAGGAGCACCTCCACCTCCTCGCCCTCAACCTCCGGCCACACGCTCGCTGCATCTCAGCATTCATTCTGCCAGCCTAACAATTAAAGCAGAAAATGCTTCTATGGCACTAGGCACTTACTGTGTGCCGACACTGCCCTACAGCGCCATTCGATTGGAAACTTTCCACATCCTCCTGTCCTTCCTCAAGGCGGGCGTACGTTCCGAAGTGCATGCCGAGTTCTTCCCACCTGTTGAACAAACAAGTTATGCAGTGATGTATCATCTAAACTGTATACCCACGGAGGGTACCTATTGCACCTTCTCACCCTTGCAGCATTCAGAGCAGACTTGCAGTGGGCAGCAGATGGTTGAACGCAAGGAACAAACACTAAACAGCACAGAACACATCCTAGGCCGCCTTCTCAGCCCTCCACAAGGACAAACATGGTCAGGAACTCTTTGAGGTAGCTGTTTTAGTCATCATGGTACCACATATCAGGAATGGAAAGCATCAAGAACGCCTTGGTAACTCTCCCAAGGTTGCACAGCTCGAACTTGAGAGAGCTGGTTTCCACAGCAGGAAAGGAAAGCTGGAGTGACTCAGCATGAATCCATTTCCGTCCTCAAGGAGGAAGAGAAAGAATGAAACTTTGAGGACACGAGTGGTCCAGTGTGGGTGGCTGGATGCTTAGGCTTGATCATCAATAGGCTTGTGTTCACTTGGGCACTCAGTGCTGGGTGGAGAGGTGATGGTACTGATGGGACCTCCAAAGCTTTTCCTGTTGTCATGTTTATTCAGTATGGTGTCTGGCAGCCCACATATGCTGTTAAGGCCTCTCTGACAGCAGACAGAACCTTGTGGAATAACCCCTATGCTGGCCAAAGGACACTTTACCAAGGAGCAGCCGGAAGACAATTGCCTGGAATTGTCTATGAGGCTGCTGAACCTGGCTGCGCATGGGCACATTTTGTAAAAACACAATGGCCAGCTGCTCACTGAAGCTTTGGCAGTCCCCATGGAGCATCCCAGGAAGTGTACCTCTCAGTGAGACAGACAAAGGCAGGGACACACAGTGACTGGATCACAGCTGTCTCAGCACAGGCCTGCTCTGCTGAAAAGACAAAGAACAGACACTTGGAATGGAATTTTGCTTCTGAGACAAACGCAAGCTTGGAAAATGTTAGGTCTGAGCACTGGGACATTAGAAAATGAAAATGCCCAGTTTCTGCAGACCCTTCATGTCCACAGTCCCTTTGAACACAGAGGAGTCCATTCTTTGCTTCTCAGTCATGTCCAACCTGTGTTTGACAGGCTGAATGTATCCAAGATAGCTATGGGTGTGGTCTACAACATTATTAGATGATGCCATCACATTGCATCGTCAAGAGCCTGGACACCTCTGCATGCAGGTTAGTCTTCTCCCTTAAACTGGATCTGCTCTCATGGTTTAAAGGGCTGAACAGTGGCCAGGATGACCTCCCACAGGCTCCTAGTCCTTAGTACAAAGCATAACAGAGGGGAGTAAGAACTCCAGGACTCCAAATATCCATGTGTCCCATGGACCTGGATAAGACTGTATCTACTGGCTTCTCTCTTGGTGAGGACCTTCTCCCCAAAACACTTATGGCCTGGCTGGAAAACATTAGAAACCTCCATTTGATTCATATTCATCTTCAGGCCACGGGGTGGAATTGATAGCACTTTACTTTCTAATGAAAATAACCTAACTGTTGTGTTTACAATCTGTGTTACCCTGTTTAAAAAATAAAAGTCTTTGGCTTGTTTCACTGGAAAACTTTTATTTTCCCAACTGACTATAAACATCTTGAGGGTCAAGATCATAATCTTAGTCCTTTGGACTGCTTGGTACAGACAATATGTCACAGTACTTGGTGGAAGTCAGAGGGACAGAGGACACTATTTGGAGACACCCACCACCGCACCTGCACTCTCACACCCTGCTCCAGCTCTGTGGAGGTCTTCAGGAGCACTTAAGTCTGAGATGCAATTTCCTCATCTTTAGATCCCTCTGGTCTCCCTGCCTG